ATTATTATTATTATTATTATTATTATTATTATTATTATTATTATTATTATTATTATTATTATTATTATTATTATTATCCTTTTTTTTAATCGACTTTAAAAGTATTTTATATTTTTAGCTATTTTGTTTTTTTTTTACAGATTTATTTACAGATGATAATAAGAAATATCGTCTACGTTAAAATTTTAAAATTTGTTTCAAATTTGTTTGGTAACAGTAATCAACGGTAGTTAATATAGAGATCTGTACGATTTGTACGACGATGATATACCTTCATTTTTAATACGATAGAAATGTTATCAAATATTCAGATTTTTTTTTTTTTTTACAGTACATTTTGATTACGATTGCAAGGTGCTTTTATATGATCACAACGATATTAAATGCTACTAAAAAATGCTACTAAAAGAGAACGCAATTTTATATCGCTACAAAATTGACACTATTCAGTCTAATTAATTTTCTTCTTAACAACTTGCTTGGATATAGTCCTCCAGCATAATTTCTTTAATCCGTACATCAATAGCGTTAATGTTATCACGTAAAATATTACCACATCGATGGAATAATAGTGAATAACGCTCATGTACCTGGAACAGTAGGTTACATATTCCGATATTAATTATCGCGCGAGAATCTTTTTAGAGAAAGTTTCGTCGGTAAACCTACCTCGTAGAACTTTTCAAATGTTCTCCTTTATACTTGGCCACATGTTCCACCCACCAAGTGGCCAATTTTCTAGGATTAATCGGTAAATCTCGTAGCAACGCGCTCCTCTTTTTCGCCGCTGTTCTATACGAGTTGTTGTGAATTGCAGCCACCTTGAGAATCCCATCGCGAAGACTGCCGATGGATATCCCGGCCAAATCCATTACCAAAGCGTAACCCAATTTCTCTGCAACGAAAGAAATCGTATCTTAATCCAACTTTTAATCCAATCATTTCGTTCCCTCGATTTTCTGAAAAATTCACTCCCCCTTTCAAAAAAACTCGTTATATTATTTGTCCAATTTTATTCGACTGACCAGCTTGTGCCGCGTTTCCATCGTGATCGCAGAAAACGGGCAAAACGAGGGTGGGAGCGGCGTGATAAGCGGCCTCGTGCAGAGACAGAAGTCCACCGTGGGAGACGAACGCTCGAAGCTTCGAATGGCCTAATAGCTCTTGCTGCGGCCACCACGCCGCCGTTCTGACGTTCGATGGCAGATCTTTGATCTTCATACCTTCCCATTTCCATACAACGTTGCACGGAAGCGTGGCAAAGGCTGCCACGAAGATTTGACGAAGCGCCTCGGGCATGCCCGAAGCGCGGACCGACGAACCCATGGAAACGAAGATGAAACCTGCGCCAACGTTTTCGCCATTATACCCAATAATACTTTCGGAATTGGACGAAAATGTTCCCCGTTCGGATCGATCGTGGGAAGAGGACAAAATAGTAACGGTAGTAATCTTTCTTTCAAGAATTTCCTCGAAGTATTTATTACTTAACATCGATCAGAAAAACGTTTCTACAAATTCCGTGCTCGAAATACGAAAGTAATATTTATTCGAACGTCTGACGGCAAAATTGAAACGTCGAATTCGCACGCGTTGGGGGAGAGGGGCAATCCGAGCATCATAATTTGATTTACGAAACAACGACTCACCGCGTTGCAAAAAAGTCTCCAAATCCGTGCTAAGTTGAGTCGCGGGTCTGCAATGGAGGCACGCGACGTTCACCACGTTGGCCAAGTAAGGGACCGAGTCTGCCACGCTGTAATGACTGTTCTGCAGTGTCAGGGGAATCTCCATGGTCAGATCTCGCACGTCGGGTAATTGATTCCCTGTTGGAAACGAGTTTTCTTTTTTCCAGTAAAAAAAAAGGAGAAG